ACATGATGTCTGATTGGTTAGCCATCACCAGTTTGTCAGTCTGGATCTTGAAGCCCCATATGATCTTAGCTCAGTCATTCTCAACTACCTTAGTAGGTGTCTTCCATTTTGACCTTGGGACTTCCAGCCCATACTCATGGCAGATGTTCCTGTACACTATGAAAGCTACCTGGTTATGGCGCTCCATGTATGCACTTCCTGCCTGCATTTTACACCCTACTGTAAGGTGCTGTATTGTTTCAGAGGCATCTTTGCACAGTCTGCACCGGGGGTCCTGCATGGTGTGGTAGACCCCAGCCTCTATTGATTTTGTACTGAGTGCCTGTTCTTGTGCTGCCATGATTAGTGCCTCTGTGCTGTCCTTCAATCCAGCTTTTTGCAGCCACTGGTAGGATTTTTTGATATCAGCCACTTCTTCTATTGTTGTGTGTTACACACTGTGCAGCGGCATGTCCCTCCCTGATGGTTCTCCTTCATCTTTCTTGTCCTCACTTTCGGTTTTCTCCTGCCTGAGGTATTCGCCAAGCCATTTGTCTTTGTGGGCCATCTTTCTGATGTACTCCTGGGTCTTAGTTGTTTCATCCTGGACAGTGGTCTTATATCAGCCTCCCTCGCTATGCTTGGTATACAGTCTCAGGGTGCCGGATTTGGGGTGAAACCCTCCATGCATTGTGACGAGCTTTGTCGTCTTGATGTCACTATCCTCTATCTCCTCCTTTGGCCAGTTTATTATACCAGCAGGGCATCTGATGACTGACAGGGCATATGTGTTGATTGCTTGAATCTTGTTTTTCCCATGCAGCTGACTTTTCAGGACCTACCTTACTCTTTGTAGGTATTTGGCTGTGACAGTCTTTCTTGCTGTCTCCTCATGGTTTCCGTTAGCCTGTGACACCCCAATGTATTTGTAGCTGTCCTGAACATCTGTACTGTGGCCTTTTGGTAGTTCAACCCCCTCGGTTCTGAATATCTTCCCTCTCTTTGAGACCATGCGACCGCACTTGTCCAGACCAGTCCGAATGACATTCCAGTGTCATTGCTGTAGATCCTGGTAGTGTGGATCAGTGAGTCGATGTCTCGCTCACTCCTGGCATACAGCTTGATGTCATCCATGTAGAGGAGGTGACTGATGAGTGTTCTGCTTTGGAATTGGTATCCTTAGCCAGTCTTTGTGATGATCTGGCTGAGGGGGTTCGGGCCTATGCAGAACAGCAGTGGGGATAGTGCATCACCTTGGTATATGCCGCACTTGATGGTGACTTGTGCAATTGTCTTTGCATTTGCTTCCAGACTTGTTTTCCACAGCTTCATTGAGTTTTTGATGAAGGCTATTAGTGTCCTGTTGATCTTGTACATTTCCAAGCATTTCAGTATCCATGTATGTGGCATTGAGTCGTAGGCTTTCTTATAGTCAATCCAGGCAGTGCACAGATTTGTCTGCCTTGTCTTACAGTCTCGAGTGACTGCTCTATCCACCAGTAGCTGGTGCTTGGCTCCTCTGGTGTTACTGCCTATTTCCTTCTGGGAAGAGTGCCTGTATTGAGCCATGTGCTTACTCATTTTAGCCGCTGTGATGTCTGACAGGAGCTTCCATGTTGTACATAAGCAAGTTGTTGGCCGGTAGTTGGAAGGGATTGTTCCCTTCTGGGGATCCTTCATGATCAGAATTGTCTGTGCTTGGGTTAACCATTCTGGGTGGGTCCCATCCATCAGCAGTTGATTCATTTGTGCGGCCAGGCTTGCATGAAGTGTGGTTAGTTTTTCAGCCAGTAGGTGTGGATCATGTCCGGATCTGGTGCTGTCCAGCTCTTCATACCTGCCGCTCTTTCTTGGACGTCTGCCGTTGTAACGGTTACTGGTTCTTGTTCTTGGAGATTGCTGTGATCTGTTCTTAGATCCACTAGCCACTGAGCATAATATCCTCCAGTACTGTTCAGTCTCAGCCCTGGGTGGATCTGATCTTGTATTATTACCCTTCCACTGTGAGTACTCTTTCGATGGGTTGGTGGAGAACATCTGGTTTATGCTCCTGTCTTCTGCTTCTCCTTTGTATCTGTTTAGGCAGGTGGCCAGGGTGGTGAGTCTTTTTTTGGCAGTTTCTAGAGCCTCAGGAATCGACAGCTTGTTGTACTTAGGTAACCTCTTCCCTACACCTTTCAGTAGGTCTGAGAGCTGACTAACCTCTCTTCGTGTTGCCTTAATCTGTGCCTCCAGCCTTCTCCTCCATGGGGGGTAATGCTCTTTGTGGCTTGTGGTGTTTATCTTATAGCCAAACATCTCTAGGATCACTGCAGCTGTGCAGTAGATCAGCTCATTGGTCTCAGTTAGTTATGTCTTTAGTAGGGATAGTATGTAGTGCTGCATTTTTATATACATATATATATATATATATATATATATATATATATATATACTATTGAGCCGATGTAGCGATTAAATTTCTCCCATATGAGATCAATAAAGTCAATCAATACAAAAATAGTGCCCAGGTTAGAGTTATACATAGATAATCGTATCATATCATGTTTCAATAGTAAATCTTTATACCCGAGAATAGTAATAAACATCAACCTAGAGTAAATTCTGTCATGATGGGTTAAATAGTTAAGCCCAAGATGCAGAACACATACACGGAAAACTGGGTTAAAAGTCCAAAAGAGTTTATTAAAGAACACTAACATGAAAATGACATGGGAACTGGTTCAGGCAGGTGAGCTGGTTCACTGGAGAATGTGCCGGGAACGGAAGACGGTTGGTTAACAGAGTACATGAAAAGCTAAGCATCTAGCTTCTAGCTTAGCATGGCTGTCCATGATCTGAGTTTCCAGCTCTCTGCAGAGAACAACAGGGGATTAACTCAAAGGGTTCTTCAGACTGAGCTTCCAGCTCACTGTAGAGAACAACAGGGGATTTACACGAAGGAATCTTCAGGCTGAGCTTCCAGCTCTCAGCAGGTAACATCAGGGGAAAATCCACATGGGAACCTCTAGGGAAACTCCACATAGAAGTCTTCAGGTTACAACCAAGTAGGGATCTTCGGGTTGGCTCACCAGGGCAGTTTAGCTGGTTAAGCTCTCCTTGAGCTTCAGGCTTGTGACTGGTTTTCTGTGATGCAACTCTCCCAGAGCTGCAGGCCAGAGACAGGTTGCCAGAGAGACAGCTCTTCCAGAGCTTCACGAAGAGACAGGTGGTTAAGCTCATCCAGAGCTTCACGAGGAGACAGGAGGTTAAGCTCATTCAGAGCTTCACGAGGAGACAGGAGGTTAAGCTCATCCAGAGCTCCACGAGGAGACAGGAGGTTAAGCTCATCCAGAGCTTTCACGAAGAGACAGGATTCCAACTAAGATCAACACTGCGGCGTGGAAGCAAGGTCAGGCAGGAGCTTATAAAGGAGAGGTCTTCTGATGAGAGGATTACCAACAGGTGTGCAGGAAGGTTCCAGCTCCAGAAGCCCCTTAGCGCACTCGGCTGGAGACAGAGGGTAGTCTCCAGGTCCCCACAGTAACTCCAACCCTAAGTGAAAAACACAGGGCAGAAGAGGATCCTCAGCGCCCTCTGGAGGGCAAGCCTGAGGATCCTAACAAATTCAAGGTTGGAATACATAAACACTCACGTTTGATGTAACTGCAAGTCAGCAACAGACAGCAAAATCCAACAACAAAATCACTTAATAGAATAGTGCTGTAGTGCCAAGAAAGCCAGTATTCCAGCTGAGAGCAGTTTATGTCAAATGGTGGTGTTTGGTGGTGTTCATGTCACTTGGTGCATGTTGTTGCTCTACTGTACCTTCTCCCAAATGCTCCACTTCTTCTGAAGCACCAGCAGGAGTGATGTCATCACCTTCACCACCTTTGAATAGCAAACATATGCTATCAGTGTTCTTCCATTAACTGAAGCACTGTATTTACTGTACTGTATATAAAAACACAGTATTTACTGTACTTTAAACACAAAATGTTGTCTTTTTTTATAACTTTTTAAAAAGGAACCATGGGTGAGGAGTAATTGTGAGTGGTGATTTAATCCATTCCTTTCTCTTCCAATGGAAATTATGTTGATGTTAATGAAGATCTTCTGTGGATCCAGATTCCATCCATGTTCCTGAAGCAGACAGCATTCAGAGCTCAACATGAACAAATAGGGAGGTTTGCTCACAGGCAGCTAAGGCTGCTGCTAAAACCTTCAGTGTTTTTCTGTGAACATGAAGCCTGAGCTGTTTGAACCTGTTGCTGAGCTTCTCTGTTTGTCTCCATCACTGTGGTTCAATGGAGCTTCTAACCAAAGCAGAGACACAGCAGGTCTGCAGCTGAACCAGGACCTGAAGAGACTGAAGAGATTCTCTGTGCTGTCAAACACAGTACATTGATCAGATGATGACATCACTGTTTGTTTATCATGTTTTGGTCTGTGTTTATCATCCAGATTGTCTGATTTCATTAGAACTGACTTTATTTCTCCTCTAATCACAGACTTGGTGGCTGTTCTCTCTCTGAAGCTGAATGTGAAGTTGTGGCCTCAGCTCTGAAGTCCAACCTTCATCTGACTGAAGTGGAAATAGAGTCGATCTATGGAGATGGATCCTTTGGAGACTCTGGAATGAAGCATCTATGTGAGATACTGGAGAGTTCAATCTGCAAAGTGAAGAAACTGAGGTGAGTTTTCTCTGTTTATTCAAACCAAATCATTCACTGATACTTTAATGCTGATTTTAATTCATCATTTTATTCTAATATATTTTCTTGTCAGAATAACATTTCTCAGACTTTTTACCTTGTCAATGAATTATTTTCCTGTTTTCCAGACGTTCTAAATATTTAACTTTATTTTCCAGAAGTTCAAACTTTCAAATGTTTTGGACTGATGGACAAAAATTAGGAAAATCAGTCAAATGATGTTAAGTAATGATAGAGATGTTTCCGTTTGATTTGGGAAAGATGAGACAAGATAAGATGGCTTTATTTCTAATTTCTGATTCGCATCTTTCCATCCAGAAGGACATTTGGTACCTCTAGAGTAGAACCAGAACCACAAACATGTTAGAATAACTAGAATAAAATAAGATGATCTAAAAACTAATGTTTAGGAAGGGAAGACAAAGACATGAAATCTTTGTCCTGAAGCTGCTGTTCTGTTGGACCGGGTCAGAGAGAACCCGTCCTCTTCAATCTGTCAGCTGTCAGAGTCGCTTGGAGACACAAATACTTAGTTACTGAACTTAAGCAGCTTTTGATTTCTGACTTATTTACTTCTTATTTACTTCAGTGTTTATTTTTCAGAATATTTTTTTCCTTTTCCTTCCTACATTTGAAGCCAAATATCTGGACTTTCTACTCCCTCCTTTCTCCAAACTGTCTCATTTCTTCTCTACATATTGATAAAAACATGACATAAGAGCTGCAAAAAAACAGGGAAAATCAGGAAGAGAATCTGTCCAGTTGGAGCCCAGTTAGTTTGTAGAAACACACTGATAGAAACATGGATAAAGACAAGAGGCTGGAGACATTGATGGATCAGATTGTGAGACACAGACATTCCCCGTCCATTCCCCCTTTATTAGGGAGGAAATGTCCATGTTGATTCTGTTTGCAGCTTTAACGGTGTGAATAGCAGAGCTCTAAATGGATTCAGCTGCTGATGAAGGACTTCTGTTGACTTCAATCTATATCAACCTGTCTGAAATTAGAATCTAGAACCAAACTAGACCCAGTCAGAATTTTTATGTTCTCTCTACCAACACAATGAAAAAATAGCTAAATTAACCTGTTTTCTCAGCAGACAAATTATTTTGAAGCATAAAGTTTTCAAATGTTATTATTTATCTTTTGAGGAAAAAACTTTTAATTTATAAGAACCTGAAAGTTTTATAAAAAAAATGTACTTTTTAATTTTTTTCTTCAATTTTTTTTTGAATTAACTAAAATATGAGAAAAGCTTTTCACTGATGATCATTAAGCTTCTGAGTTATTTTAGAAAAGCTTTTATCTGAATCTTTGATCATCTAATAAACAAACATTTTTAAACTCAGAGAATCTTAGAAACTGATTAAATAGCTTTTGTTGAATCTCTGTCAAATAGTCAGATCCTTAAAACACATTTGATTATTTTCTTCATGATGAGAGATTTCCAAAACATGAGATGAACATTGATTGAGCTGTAACTTTAATTTTTCCTGCTCTGAGTCTGTATTAAGGTTTAATCTCTATCTTTGGTCTGGATTGATCCGTTTCTTTCTGTTCCTGTGATCAAAGACGCACCAGGCTCCACCTCTGCTCTGAAATCAGCCCTGTTCTCCTGCTGCAGGGTTATTTGCTTTTTGTTGTTTTTATTTCTGTATAATGATAGAAGCAGGTCCGCATCCCTGGACTGAGCAGCTTTTCTGCCCGTTAAGGGAAAGACAAACTGCCAGTCCATCCCTGCATGGAGCTCCTAGTTCACATTGATGGTGCCCGAGAAGGCTGGACCCTTCTCGTGTGTCGCACCATTACAGAAAACTGCGGGTGTCCCCTTAATGCCTCGCGTCATTGGCTCAGTGGCGACATGCAGCATTCATGACGAGGGGGGTTCCACTAGGTTCGCTGCTATCCCCTCGGGAGTTTGTCTCCACCAACCCTTCCACCACAGAATAGGGGGCATTTTGGAAACAACAGATTGCTTGGGGGACATGGTCTCCACGAGAAAGCGGCACCACATCAACGCTCTGGAGTTGGTGGCTGTGCACTTCCTCCCGATCCTGCAGGGAAGGCAAGTTCTGGTGCGGTCAGACAACACGTCGGTTGTTTTACACATCAAGGGTGAACACGGTCAATGACGTTACTGAGGCTGACCCAGAAGCTTTTGACCTGTGCAGCCCCTCTTTTTGCCAGCCTGAGGGCGGCCCACATCCCAGGGGTGCAGAATGTTCCTGCCGACATCCTATCTCGAGGGCGTCCACCACCGGGGGATTGGAGGCTCCACCCAGATGTAGTGGGGACTATTTGGGAGAGGTCTGCAAGAGCAGCCGTAGACTTATTCGCCTCCCGACAGACGACACATTGCCCACTTTGGTTCTCGCTGGCAGACAGTACTAGTCCCCTAGGTCAGGATGCACTGTCACACGACTGGCCAAGGGGCACTGCTCTATGCATTCCCGCCGCTTCCCCTGATAGCCCTTACTTCAGGAGGGGCATCAGCTCCTTGTGGTGGCCCCCCGGTGGCCAGGGAGGACTTGGTTTCCACTGCTGCACAGGCTCTGTTGCAGCTCTCCAATGCCTCTTCCCTGCAGGAAGGACCTTCTGTCATAGCTGGGCGGTCACTACAGGACCCGGCGTTTCCTTCTCGGAGTATGGCGGGTACATCGGACAAACAATGACTAATGCCAGGGCCCCTTCCATGCAACTGATGTACGCCCATAAGTGGAAGGCTTTTAGCCACTGGTGTCAGGGAAGAAAGGAGGACCCTGTACACTGTCCTATTTCTGTTATTTTAACCTTCCATCAAACACTGCTTTCTCAAGGTCGCTCTCCATCCATTCTGAAAGTCTATGTCTCTGCCATCTCTTGCTGGCATTCGGTGGGGATATGGTGGGTCGTAATAAGTATGTTTCCTTGTTTTTGAGAGGTGCCCGACGTTTGCACCTCCCACACGCCCTGTTGTGTCATTGTGGGACTTCTCTATTGTCCTCGCTGCCCTGTGCTCTCCTCCTTTTGAACCATTGGCGGAGGCAAGCCTTGAGTGTGTGTCAAAGAGGACAGCTTTTCTTCTCGCCATGGCCTCGGCGAAACAGGTGGGTGAACTACATGCCTTGTCTGTTCACAATTCCTGCTGCCATTGGAACCTGGCTGGTTCTTTGGCCTAATGCGGCGTTTCTTCCTAAGGTGGCTTCATCCGTGAGCCACAATGTGCCCCACCAGCCTGCTCGCATTAATGCGGATGGGCCTGATGAGCTTCTCTGCCCTGAAGGCATACGTCTGTCTCACAGCTTCTCTCCGGCAGTCAGATAGTCTGTTTGTTTGCTACAGGGGGCCCTGCAAGGGGCACGCCCTTTCTAAACAGCGCATTGCGCATTGGATTGAGGATGTAGTGGAACAAGCGTACATTCGGCAGGGCCACCAACCCCCCGCTGGTGTACGGTGCCATTCCACCAGGAGCATTAGTGTGTCATGGGCCGCTATGACTGGTGTCACTCTGGAGGCTATTGGTTCAGCAGCCTCTTGGTCATCCCCGAATACCTTTGCTAGGTTTTACAGGGTTAACTTAGCCCTCCTTCACCCAATGCATGGGATCCTGTCCCGGCGCGCACCATCTTCCCAGTGAGGTAGGCATGTTTCGGTTGATTGTTTCTGTGTGTGATTCCTCAGGACTCTGTTGGTAATCGTCATCAGTGCTTTAAGAACGAAAGTTACGAGTGTAACCACAGTTCTATGAATCCCGGATGACCGTCAGAGCGCACGGTCCCCCTGTATCATTGTGTTTTTCGCGAGAAGATTAAGGGACTGAGCTGTCGCTGTCACATGACTATATAGGCTCACCAGTGTCACTGGAGGTCACACGTGACTATGTTGGTACAAGATTCTTGACCTGTGCATGTGCAAGAGTGATCATTCGTGCTTTAAGCACCGCCTCTGGCGGTCATCTGGGATTCATAGAACCGTAGTTACAGTGGTAACTTTCGTTATCTCTAAAGAAACACGTGCAGTCATCATTGCACTGCACAAAAATGTTCTAACAGGAAAGAGAATCCAGCTAGAAATATTGCAACTTAGTCAACAATCTATCGCATCATCAAGAACTTCAAGGAGAGAGGTTTCATGTAGCCAAAAAGGCTCCAGGGCGCCCAAGAAAGACCAACAAGTGCCAGGACCGTCTCTTGAAAGTGTTTCAGCTGTGGGATTGGGCTACCAGCAATGCAGAGCTTGCTTAGGAATGGCAGCAGGCAGGTGTGAGTATATCTGCATGCACTGTGAGGTGGAGACTCTTCGAGCAAGGCCTGGTCTCAAGAAGGGCAGCAAAGAGGACACTTCTCTCCACGAAAAACATCAGGGACAGACTGATATTCTGCTAAAGGTACAGGGAGTGGACTGCTGAGGACTGGGATACAGTAATTTTCTCTGATGAATCCCCTTTACAATTGTTTGGGACATCTGGAAAAAAGCTTGTTTGGAGAACACGAGGTGAGCACTACCATCAGTCTTGTCTCATGCCAACTGTAAAGCATCCCGAAACCATTCATGTGTGGGGTTGCTTCTTAGCCAAGGGAGTCGCCTCTCTCACAGTCTTACCTAAAAACACAGCCATGAATAAAGAATGGTACCAGAATGTCCTCCGAGAGCAACTTCTCCTAACCGTCCAAGAGCAGTTTGGTGATGAACAATGCCTTTTCCAGCATGATGGAGCACCTGGCCATAAACCAAAGGTGATATATAACTGGCTCAGGGAACAAAACATAGATGTTTGGTATTCATGTCCTGGAAACTCCCCTGATCTTAATCCGATTGAAAACTTGTGGTCAATCATAAAGAGACGAGTGGACAAATGAAAACCTAGGAATTCTGACAAAATAAAAGCATTGATTGTGCAAGAATGGAGTGTTATCAGTCAGGATTTGGTCCAGAAGTTGATTGAAAGCATGCCAGGGAGAATTGCAGAGGTCCTGAACTAGAGGGGTCAGCACTGC